ATTATACAGCTGAGGAATCACAATCATGAAAAACCCAGGGGACTAAGACAGAGTACAGAAACATGGACAGCATGTAGAACAGACGTCCGCGCAAGACAGAACATGGATATTTAAAACTGCACAGGTTGACAATCACTATCGATAGCCAGATTCACAAGGAGCCGCCGGGCCGGGGGACAGGCAACTTAGCAGAGCTGACTCCTATGCGATTTTCAGGCTCGAGGGAGGGTATCCAGTTTTTCAAAATAAGATAATAAAGGGGCCCAAGTTTTATAAAATTTTTGGATCGAACCTCTAAGACAAAATTTTATCTTCTCTAACTTAAGGAACATGGACAGATCTTTCAACCAAAGAGAAGCCTTGGGTGGGTGTTCTGATTTCCACGCTAATAATATTCTTCTTCGGGCGAGGAGAGTTGAAAAAGCTAGTACATTTTTAAAATCATGTGTTAATGATATCCCCTCCCCTGGAGTTCCAAATATTGCCAATTCAGCACTGGGTTGGATACCTATTTCGAAAGCTTCAGAAAGGATCTGAAAAATTGTGGACCAGAAGTTACACAGTTTGTTACAGCTCCAGAACATGTGAGTTAGATTTGCCTTAGCTATGTGGCACCGAGCACAGGTTTCACTCACTGTAGAATAAATCCTTGAGAGTCTGGCTCTACTGTAATGGATCCTATGAAGGACCTTGAACTGAATTAGTCCAAGTCGAGCGCATGATGTTGACCCATTTACTCTACGTAATGCGTGGTTCCAAGTTTCATCAGAGATGTGTATTCCAATTTCCTCTGACCATTCCTCTCTGATCTTATTGAGCTTCACAGTATTGAATGATGAGATGCTATTATAAATTTTGGAGATTAAGCCCCTATCTTGTGTTGGAGTTTGCAAAATTATGTCTATTCCTCCCTTTGGAGGTAAATTGGGAAAGCAGGGACTAATGTTACGAACAAAGTCACGGATCTGGAGGTATCGAAATAGGGAGGAACGCTGTAAGCTAAATTTAGAGGAAATAGCATCAAAGGTAGCGAAAATTCCATCTATATATAAGTCACTAAATTTATTTAAGCCTGCCCTCCGCCAATGGGCAAAGACAGGATCTGATAAGGATGGCGGGAAAACATGGTTATCACATATGGGACTGTAGATAGAGAAGTTTATCATATTGAAGTGTTGTCTAAATTGTGACCATATTTTTAGGGTTGAGATTACAACTGGGCATGACGAATGCTGCCTAGGAGAGAGAGGAAGCTTTGAGGTAATTAATGCAGGGAATGATGATGGCTTACATGCATTCAGTTCTAATTGACACCAGTCACCATCTGGTTGATGGAGTAGACAGACTACTTTTTGTAGGTTTGCTGCCCAGTAATAATACAACAGGTTAGGTAGAGCCATACCCCCCTCATCCTTATGTCTCTGAAGGAAGCGCCTGCTGATTCTAGGATGTTTATTACCCCACATGAATGAGGATAGCTGTTTATCGATAAGTCTGAAGAATGATTTTGGGAGAAAAACTGGGATACTCTGAAACAAATACATAAATCTTGGCAAGACGTTCATTTTAATACATGCTACTTTACCCGCTAAAGATAAATTTAGGACACTCCATTTCTGGAGGTCACGTTTGAGATTATTAAGCAGAGGGGAGAGATTTTTTTCAAACAGATCAGAGAAAGAACGTGTCACGTTAATTCCCAAATATTTGAATCCTGCTCTAGCCAGAGGGAAGGGCAGGTCAGTTTCTGTAATTTGGAGCGCAGAATTATTAATTGGAAAACATTCACTCTTTGAGAAGTTCAACTTGTATCCTGAGAATTTACCAAAACGGTTTAGCAAACTCACAATGTTGGAGATAGATGATACTGGGTCCGAGATGTAGAGTAGTAAGTCGTCCGCATACAGGGACAGCCGATGTTCCAGCTGTTTTCTACAGATTCCCTTAAAACTCTGTGAAGTCTTGAGCATAATTGAGAGTGGCTCAATAGCTAAAACGAAGAGGAGCGGGCTGAGGGGACAACCCTGCCGGGTACCCCTGGATAAAGAAAAGGGCCCAGACCGTGTTTTGTTAGTGATTATACTCGCTTTGGGTGAGGTATACAACAGTTGTACCCATGATGTAAATTTGGGCCCAAACCCAAACCCAGCTAGTACTGCAAATAGGTAAGGCCACTCAACCCGGTCGAATGCCTTCTCCGCATCGAGGGAGACAACAACCTCAGGAGACTCCCCCGATTCAGGAGAATGGACAACACTAATAAGCCTACGTATATTAGAGAAAGAGTGACGACCTCTCATAAACCCAGTCTGATCTGAGGAGATTATGTCAGCCATGGCTGCGTCCAGTCTCATAGCCAAAAGTTTAGCTAAGATTTTAACGTCACCATTTAGGAGTGATATGGGCCTGTATGAAGCGCAGTCTGTTGGATTTTTACCATGTTTTAGTAAGAGTGTGATGTTAGCTTCTGTAAGAGTCTGTGGCAAGGTTCCCCGCTCCAGTGAGTAGTTAAACATTTCAAGTAAAAGAGGTGCTAACTTGGATGAGAATTTTTTATAGAATTCGATTGGATAGCCATCTGGTCCAGGGGCCTTGCCACTCTGCATTGCTGAAATAGAATTGGTAACCTCACTAAGTGTAAGGGGCTTATCCAGATCCCTCTTCCTATCAGGACCAATAACAGGGATATCCAAGCTGTTTAAGAAATTATTCATATCCGAGTTGTCCTCTGGGAATTGTGACGTATATAGGTCAGAATAAAATTTCTCAAAGACTTGGTTTATTTCAGCTGGATCAATAGTTTTCTCGTCAGGGGTCTTTTGGATCTGTGATATGAGCTGCGCCGCTGACCGGCTCTTGAGTTGGTGGGCCAGGAGGCGGCCCGCCCTCTCACCATGTTCATATATAAATCCACGGGATCTAAGCAAGGATTGTTCCACATCCTGCGTTGATATAAGATTATATTGCATTTGCAAACAAAGTCTCTCTTTGTACAGCTCGGGGGAGGGTGACATTGAATGTCTACGGTCCAGCTCCTGCATAGAACTGATAAGCTGTTCCTGCCTTAATCTTCTAATTTTGTTGCGTGTTGCCGTGTAGGATATTATCTCACCTCTAATTACCACTTTTAATGTTTCCCACAAGATGGATGGCGACACAGAATCTGATTTGTTTTCAGACAAAAAATTATCTATGGCAGTAGACATCGCTTCACAAAAATTGTCATCAGCTAACAAAGTTGAGTCAAATCTCCAGATGGGCCGCTGAGCCTGATTAAGTGGAAAGGCCAAGTCCAATATTACTGGTGAATGATCAGACACTACAATAGCAGAATATTCACTTTTCTTGACAAAGGGTAGCAGAGTTTTGTCTACAAAAAAACAATCAATCCTTGAATACGACTGGTGGACATGTGAAAAAAAAGAGAATTCCCTACGGTCTGGAAACAAAAAGCGCCATGGATCTATACAACCCGCTTCCTTCATGAATGCTGCTAAGGCCTGAGCCATCTTTGATGGAGATGACAATCTAGAGCTGGAACGGTCTAGGGTCGGATCCATAACACAGTTCATGTCACCACCCAATATCAAACGGTGAGAATTCATGTTAGGTAGAGCAGAGATTAACCTGGATATGAAAGAGGGGTCATCCCAGTTGGGAGCATATATGCAAGCAAGTGTAACTTGAGTATTATATAGGGAACCAGAAACTATAACATATCGGCCCTGTGGATCTGATGTGGACGAGCTTAAAGTAAACTGTATGTTTTTATGAATCAATATTGCTGTTCCCCTCGCTTTAGTATTAAATTGTGAATGGTAAACTTGTCCCACCCAAGGCTTCTTAAGTTTTATCTGGTCTGCAGAGACCAAATGAGTTTCCTGTAGAAATGCTATTTCTGTTCTAAGTTTTTTAAGGTGGGAAAAAATTTTGGCCCGTTTCACTGGTCCTCTCATGCCCTTTACATTCCAACTTGTAAAGCGAACTGCTGAGGTGTCCACTCTTACACTGTTGCTACATACATTAGCCATGATAATCCAATTTTATACCTGACCCGGCCCAGCAGCTCCACCTGGCACCCCCACGGGTGCATGTCTTCCTATGCATGTTCAAATTTTTAAGAAAAATAACGTAGAAAAAACAACACAAATCAGCTATATGAATGAAAAAGGCAGCCCTGAACCCAACCCTTTTTAGAACCCACCCCAGTTGTATCCTTGCTTCTCTTGTCGAAGCCAACTGCTGTCCCATAAACACCTCGTAGGTCTTCCGATAGGCCATACACATCCCCAAACTAACTTTGGAAGGTTCCCAATAAACTTGGTATTAAGGAGTTACACTCTTTAAACAATAAGTTAAAACAGCACCAGCAACTATAAACGGTGGATAGTGTAAACGCCAAAGGGCAATTGTACAATAACCAGCTAGATTATGAACGTGGATTTTTGTGCTAAAATACACTAAATTTACGTCAAAACAGAGAACAACAAAAACAGTCATAGTAGCAGCATAAAATTGTAATAATAGGGGGCATATCCGTGTACGTGCATACATGGTGCAAACATAC